TAGTGGTTATGGTGCCAGGGGTGCTGGGACCCCCTCCCAGAGTAAGTAGTCAAAATGTTTAAGAACAGTTTGACAACTTACCTGGAGTCTTCTGTGATATGGGGCTGTAGTAGGGTATAGGAGCAGTGGTGCAATGTGTGAGGGGTGCAATGTGTGTGAAAGGTTTAGTGTGTGGATGTGGGGGGTGTAGTGTGTGAATGTGTAGTGTGTGTGGAGCAATGTGTGTATGGCGGGGCAGTGTGTGAATGTGTATGGTGTGTGGGGCAGTGTGTGAATGTGTATGGTGTGTGTGTATGGGGCTAGAGTTCACTCTCACCACTGCGACCACCAGGGCCCTGCTCAATGAGCTTACATGCTAGAGGGAGTGGGGTAAATGTTCTACATTGTTCTCTTGTGCTGCCTCCAAAGTATGGAGTGACTCAATGTGGTCATATTTTTGGGAGCTAGGTAGTCCCTTAAAATTACACTATAGGCATCCAGACCACTTCATCTCAATGCACTGGTATGGGTGCCATGTGCCCCCTTTTTAACCCTGCATTCTGCAGGTACTGCAATGTTTGCATTTCAGGGTTAAATGCCTCCAATGGCTGTCACTCAGACATTCACTAGAGGCGCTTCCACCAATACAGTAGAGTAAACCTCTGCTTTTATAATAAGATGGTTTAATAGACCATCTGATTGGTGTGGCGAAGCGTTTTGCCATGCATATGCCATTGACTACCTATGGGATAGCATTGGATTGGATGAAGATATGGGTGCAGGCAGGGAGATGGGTGCCACAAGAGAGAAAGGTAAGTTAAAGTATTTCCTTTCTCCGTGTACATGGAGTCCGGAGATCTAAAAAGTCACCAGGGCACTTTTGCGTTAGAAAATACTCATATATTCCTAACACTATAGTGTTACTTTAAGAATTCTGTGCCTATGATTAAAACAAATCTTATTTCTTAGGTGAAAATAAATCATAAACTCAGATCAAGAGAAAGTCTGAACAAAATATATTGTGTGACTCTTAAAGCAGTTATTATGCAAATGTTAGAAATTAAAGTATGCTTTAAAACAAAACAAAACAAAAACTCTTGATGTCAGCTAAAGTTTACCTTTACTTTCTTAATAAATATGCAAAGAACTTTATTTGCTCTCTCACGGAAAACGTTCTCCACTAAACCAGTCTCCGTTCTACCAATTCATTTTACAAATTTTTCCATATTACTAAATTGTGTTAAGTGATTCTCCTCCGGACATTTCCTTCAGCTCTGCATGAGACTTGTGGATTAGAGAGTACACGTGACAGCGTGCTTTAAACACCTCAGCAGACATTAAGTGAAAGTATTGGACAATATCCAGTGTCTGGACTTCAACCGCCAACTCGGAGTCTACTTCAGACAGCTAGCAAGCAGCCTGCTCTGTAATCTAGCTCAATTACCTTGCACACTTAGGACAAGATTCCTATCTGTATATGCCTACATTACACATGGTCTCTCTTGTCCTGATTACTTTAACACGTTTCCAGCAGCTACACCGTCTGCTACATAGCTTCTTAGGAATGCAGAACTTTATTCCCTAGGCAGTGATAAATAATACAAACATTAGCATATATTATAACATTCCCCAAATTACCGTAAATGCATTAAGAAAAGATTTACTTTTATAATTTGCACAAGGGATAATTGTTACCTTGTATTTATTAGATAATAAAAAAGAAAATGAACTACAGAAAATGAGCTAGTCATTTTTCCTTTATACACAAACCATTTCTGAAACAACTGTGATTAAACAATTGTTTCCCTGTGCTCCATCCTGACCCTATCCTAATAGAGTAGTGTCACTGAATTACTAAGGGGCTTACGCGCAAAATAAATTGGTAAAATTTAAAAATGTTGGCAAAAATAGTTATTATGAAAAAAAAAATACAATTCCAATTCAACGTTTGTCATCACTTGCACAGTTACCTAGGTTTAACAATTTTGTATGACAATTCACTCTAATGTGAAGCTTCAATAAACCCGAAAATATATATCAACGCTGATTTCTAAAAGGTTATTAACTACCCGTGCTTATAGATAGTAGATTGTTGCAAAAATTTGTTTCGGCCAGTACATCCAAATCAGAATGCTTTTAATCTGCACGTAAACAAATGATTTCATTCAGAAAAAGTATTATTAGAATGAATCAATTTGCTTCATAAAGGGTTTAAAATGATTTTGATTCAGATGAACCATTCAAAACAACATTTTGAATATGTTGCGGTTCAATTTACATAGGTTACTAGCAGAAATCCTTTAGTAACAAAATATAATTTCAAGGAAAATTCCACAAAACAATTTCTAAATTACTCATCGAAGTTAAAGCTCTTTTTTTAAATCAAATGATAGAGAATTATGTAACTGATAGGTTCATCATTGATTTCTGAAACAATAAAATTGTATGCAATATCAGCTCTGGAATTGACCAACAATCATAGGTATGTACACATTATGTACGTATTTGACTATTTCCATAAAATATACTACATATAGTGTTAGGCCACATTTTCCACATTTTACAAGTCTGTACTTTTTCTACTTCCTCTTTAAACACATTAAAATGTAAAAATGCATTAAAATTTCTGCTTTGTTGAGAGGAACTGCAGTATCATCAAATTGTTGCAGAGTTTTGTCCCAGCATTATTTGTGAGCAATATGTTGCACAATCGGTATTTACGCAGAGGCATAACAAAACGCAAAGAATTACATTACTCTTTTTTTATACGGATCATTGTGAAAATACATGTTGCAATTCCGAGATAGATTTTGGAGAGGGGATAACCAAAGCACTTTCCTTATCTTTTCTCTTTGCTTTTCTTTTACCGAATACCTGATGGACCTATAATTATGGGTGCAGGAACTGGGGACAGTGGCATACTAAGGGGGGTTGGAGGGGATGGACCGCCCTGAGTGCCATTTACTAGGGGGGTGCCCTGGGCAGATTGTGTCGGGTCCTGGGTCACTGTCATATGTGTGTCTGTGTATCTGTATGTCTGTTTATCTGTATGTGTGTTGGTATATGTGTATCTGTTTGTGTCTGTGTTTGTATCAGTGTGTATCTCTATCTGTATGTGTCTGTGCGTCTCTCTGCGTGTCTGTCTGTATGTGTGTGTGTGTGTGTGTATCTTTATGTGTTTGTATCTGTGTGTCCATCTGTATGTGTGTCAGTGTTTGTCTGTATGTGTGCATGACTGTTTCTATGTAACTGCATGTGTGTGCCTATGTGTTTGTGTGCCAGTGTGCGTATATGTGCATACTTCTCAGCATTTCGCCTACACTACACACAAATACAACCCTGCATCCAAATGTCAACACTACATAAAAACACACCACCATATTAAAAAACCACACTACAGAAAAATGCACGCCTGTATTCAAATGCCATTACATGCAAACACACCCGTACATTCACTCACACATACTCCATACAAAAAACATGCTTACATTAAAACACACAAACACTGCTCAGTGCTAAGTATATATATAAAAAAATACAAACCCTGCTCAGTGCTCAATACATGTTAAAGATGTGTGGGTGTTTTTTACATTTTTAAGCTGGCGGGGAAGGGGGTGCCAAATATAGGATCCGCCCAGGGTACCAAATGCTCCAGGTACGTCCCTGATTGGGGAGATGGGAGAAACACCCCTCTGAAAATCTAGTGTAGCTTTTAAAATCATATGCTTCACAGTTAAGAAAAAGGAGAAAACCAAAGACATTAAAAGAGTTGGCTATGCCATTCTACTGACCGATATTGATAATAGTAAACATATATATATACCTGTATACTTCCTAAGTGAGGTTGGGATTACTATGAGTTGTCCACTCCTTATTTTCTTCAGATCCTATGTCGATACCTATAAGCTACATTTTACACATTCAACACTGTTATTCCCCTTTCCTATATCCCTTGAATTCCACTACCCCCCTTCCCCAGTTATATTAAAAAACGGTTTATTGTACTTTGTCATTTGCACTGGATGTTAAGCTGTATATCAATACATATGCATGCTGCCTTCTGCCTTATTCAAATTTTGCTGATCAATAAAAAAAATACAATGCATAAAATAAATACATAAAACTCAATTTAGGTTGAAACATTACTTTCAAAGATTTTTTTCATCACTGTAAAATATTGATATTACAGTGGGTACAATAGTTTTTACATTAATATTTAATGGCTCAGATTAAATGTATTAAACCAATTTAAAATGTTTTGAACAGCACTATGTCTGAGCAAGAATAACCTATTGGATTTCAAGTTATAGGAATGCTAAAAATAAAAAGCCAAAGAATAATGAAACTAGAAGTTTGGATAGATCTTTTATTGTTCTGACATTTTCATTAAGCCAGTATTATAGGTTTTGTTATAAAAAAATAAATCTCATAAAATGTGATGCCATAAGGTCTAGCCTTGGGAGTGGATTGTTTTATATAAAGTAAACTACTGGAATTAGAATTTTCTTTTATGTAGGAAACATTTCCATTGGACTATCACAATGGGCTTTAGTTCACTATTTGTTTTATTAATTGCTAACCAGTTCACCTATATTGCCATTACGTAAAGCGGAATATGTCTATTCCCAAAGAAACAGCTAGTTTGTTTTAATAATGTGTGGAAAAACATAGACAACCATTATTATTCATAGGAGACAGAATGGATAAAAGCACACAACATACAAATATAAAAATGTGAACAGGAGGAGACAATAATACAATAAGGTAAAAACAAATTATTAAAAAAAATTGAAGGAAACAAGAGCCAGAATTTGAAAATACATGGAAACAGCTAGCACAAAGCTGAGAAGGGGAGATAAAGTTTACATTGCTATAAATTGAATAAGAAAATATGGCCTGAAAGAGGGTTGCACATATAGGTTTAAGTGTAGTGATGTCCCGAACGGTTCGCCCAACGGTTCGCCACGAACGGTTCACCACGGACTCATCATTAAGTAAACGTTGACCCTGTACCTCACAGTCAGCAGACACATTCCAGCCAATCAGCAGCAGACCCTCCCTCCCAGACCCTCCCACCTCCTGGACAGCATCCGTTTTACATTCATTGTGAAGCTGCATTCTTAGTGAGCTGTCCAGGAGGTGGAAGGGTCTGGGAGGGAGGGTCTGCTGCTGATTGGCTGGAATGTGTCTGCTGACTGTGAGGTACAGGGTCAAAGTTTACTCAATGATGAGTCCGTGGCGAACCGTTCGTGGCGAACCGTTCGCGAACTGTTCGGGACATCACTATTTAAGTGTAATAAATCAGTCCAGAGGAGCTTGTTTTAGAAATTGTATTAAATGATCTGTATCCTTCTTGGAATCCCAGTGGTCACAAGATATAGTTACTGAAGGAACACTCTTCTCTCCCAATATTCCCTTTCTCTGTTTTTTTTTCTTCTTTGCAAATACATCCATATTACTTATTTTTAGACGGTTTCCTTTTATTCTTAGAATGTCCTGGCACTTCCTTCAGACTTTTATCCTAAATCTCTATTAGGTAGTTTTTCCCATTCCTCTCACTTATAAATTCATTTTGCACCTTCCCCAAAATATGGACTTGTTATTGCAACTCTAGAGATTCTCGGTACATTGATAATGCAGGATCTTATTTTAAGGGTTGTATCAAAACAACTTATGCGTAATTAAGAAGTTTTGTGTAAATAGCACATCCCTGCCGCCTCAGTGCTCAGTTCTCTGTCATTTAAGAATTAAATCGCTTTTGTTTTCTGTTTATACAGCCCTAGCCACATCTCCCCTGGCTATGACTCACACAGACTCCATAAAATTGGTTTCATTTTCAATTAGATCTTACAGCGCAGTGTGTTTACTTTAGAAGTGATTATTTCTGTTCTGTTGTACTTTAATCACGTATACAAGGCTGCAGCAGGCTCTAGTTGGCTATTAACAGAGCAGAATGTGAGCAATTCAAAATTAAACACACTGTGAAGTAAGGGAAGTTCAGAAATGTAGGCTGTTTTCAGGAAGTAAGTGAGGAGGCAGTGTTAGTCTCAGCCATAGGAGGTGTGGCTAGGGCTGCATAAACAGTGACAATTCCTAAACGGTAGACAGTTAAGTTATGATACAGCAGTGGTATAATCTATACACCAAGATCACTTAATTAAGCTACAGTTGTTTTGGTGTTTAGAGTTTTCCTTAAATAGTACTCTATTTCTTGTTAACTGTGCAAAGAGTGGGCTCCTTCTGTCTTTGAATGCTTCTGACTTTCCGTTCATGCATTCCTGTGTTCCTTATTCCTGAACTCACACTTAATCCTGATTCCTTGATTTGTTTGTTGGGTTTGTATAGTGCTGTGTATCTTGGCACTTTGTTCTTTCGATTCATTTTATTTCTGATAATTGGGCCTTTTTTCTGCACTCTCCTAGACACTGTCTCCCTGTGCCTCCCAAAACTTTCGCTACCCCACCACATTTTCAACCTTTCAAACACCTTTCACTTCTTACAATCCTGACTTTTACACCCACATATTAACACGTATATTCTGAGAAATCCATTTGTTAGTGCCTCTGGGAACTGACGTTCCAATGCAAAACCGAAAGGCGATGTCCAAAAGCATGTATTAAAGTTCTACAACCCCCCCCCCCCCAAAAAAAAGAAATATTTTATTTTCAATTTAACTAAATCTTGACATGATTATTTGTTAAGCATTTTCAACTGGACATGACAAATTTTGCATGGTTTCTTTCTAACACACAACAAAAACAAGGTTGGATGCTGCCCCTATGGACAAGTCCCCACTGCTTAAATGTAATCCAACTAATATTTTATGTCATTTAATATTATGTATCTGTTACTTTACATTCCTATATTAAAACAATGATCCATTCCAGTATGTACAAATAAGAAGAAATAATCAACCCATCATTATTATTATTTTATTATTATTATAGCGCCATCAGATTCTGTAGCGCTGTGCATTCTTTGCATTTTGTGATTTATTTTCTTTTTGCATATGTAACTTCCTGTATAGATCCAGTTTATGAAACGCAACTTCCTTATTTACTCCGGTTTATTTTATATTGAATATACTCAAACAATGTATGGAAAAGTGAGCTATCAAATGTCAAAAGCACAGACAAACAAGCCGATATAAACAGAATAAACCGCTTCTGCAATGTAAAATGTTTACCAGTTTAATAGCTTTCAATAAATGGCTTGCAGACACGTTTGTTTGGTAACACATCTGTCCTGAAAACTTCTGCTGTCTTAGTGTTGATCCTTCTCACAGTCCTACAACAATGTAAATCAACCATTCCCTGTGGCAATAATCCCTTTCTAACTCACTATTCACACGCAAGTCATATTTCTTTCTCTTTTCAGGACACTCCGTTCACGGATTATTCTTAGATTCCTGCTGTGGAGTACCTTGGTATGGAAAGGTGTGCTCAATACATAAAAAGTTTGACAAGCCTTAACTCTTTTCTATCAAGTTATGAATAGTTTAAAGTATAATCTGAAAACCTATGTTGATCTGAAACCTTTTAAGAGTGTCCCATGATGCTGAACTGTTTAAGAATGCCATACCAGTTTTGGACAGTAGGGGTCAGGAGCAACCAGCAGTCAACATCCAGACTTTCGGTCGGAGTGACTTTGTCTCAAATTCCTTTCCTTTTTGTCCTTTATGTTAGTCAAATTTTCTACCTTGCTGAAAGGAATGTTCTTGGTTTCTATACCTCTTGTTGGTGCTCTGCCATTTGCCACCTGTTAACCTGAGCATTAAATCACAGCAGTGTTGAGGTTCATTCCTATATGTCTATCATGTAGTCAACAGGAACAAGGAAATTACTGTGTATGAATGTAATTCTTTCAACTATCTGTTATTTAAAACCTTGCTGTAGTTTGGAATCTGTTGAAGGGTATTTATTAGTCAGATCAGTTTACACTCACTCAGAGTTTGCAATTTCCATTCTACTATATGTGAAAAAAATGCCATTAGAATAAAAAAATACAAAATAGAAAAAAAGGAAACTATGTGAAAGGCCTAGTGAACTTTAACATGCATTGGGAAAAAGCCACAGGGGGCACTGTGCATTAGTTCCTTTTACTGTTTATATGTTAACATAATGGCCCATTGTGAAGGCATTATGTATTGTAGGAGGCATAAAAGTTGCCTCTAAAGGGTGCTATAGATGGCGTGGCATGTAAGTTGAGAATGAAAGTGAATACATTCCACATCATAGAAAGTGCAGGCATGGGCGTCCACAGGGGCGACAAGAGGTGCTCCTTCTATCCCTTTCTGCTCTTTGCAGACCCTTCCTTCTTCTTGCAGACCCTTCCTACTCCTTGCTGTCCCCGCACCCCCCTCTCCCCCATTTTTCAGCTTGTTCTGCTAATTTGTGAGATTGAAAATACAGTGCAATACTGGCGCCGGCCCGTAGGTGGCACTGTGTAAGGAGAGAGACAGGGATATGAAGCTGCATCTTATCCCTGCTTTTCTCTGACTGAATCCACAGGGAAGCAACACATGCAGCCAGCAGCGACAACCTACAGATCAGGGAAGTGAGGCATGGGGGCAGGGTACCACAGATCAGGGAAGTGAGGCATGGGGGGGGCGGGAGCCGCCTACAGATCGGGAAGTGAGGCATGGGGCCAGAGATAGCCTACAGATCAGGGAAGTGAGAGCATGGGGGCGAAGTAGCCCACAGATCAGGGAAGTGAGGCATGGGGGGCAGAGAGAGCCTACAGATCAGGGAAGTGAGGCATGGGGAGGGAGAGATAGCCTACAGATCAGGGAAGTGAGGCATGGGGAGGCAGAGATAGCCTACAGATCAGGGAAGTGAGGCATGGGGAGGCAGAGATAGCCTACAGATCAGGGAAGTGAGGCATGGGGAGGCAGAGATAGCCTACAGATCAGGGAAGTGAGGCATGGGGAGGCAGAGATAGCCTACAGATCAGGGAAGTGAGGCATGGGGGGGCAGAGATAGCCTACAGATCAGGGAAGTGAGGCATGGGGAGGCAGAGATAGCCTACAGATCAGGGAAGTGAGGCATGGACGGGAATGGCCTGCAGTCAGGAAATGAGGCATGGGGGCAAGTAGCCTACAGAACAGGGAAATGAGGCATGGGGGCAGAGATAGCCTACAGAACAGGAAATGAGGCATAGGGGGGCAGAGGCCAGCTGAGTCACGCAGGAAGTGAGGCATGGGGGGCAGAGATAGCCTACAGATCATGAGAGAAGTGAGGCATGGGGCAGAGATAGCCTACAGATCCAGGAAGTGAGAAGAGGGCATATAGGGGGGCAGAGAGAGCCTACAGATCATCGAAGTGAGGCATGGGAGGGCAAAGATAGCCTACAGATCAGGGAAGTGAGGCATATGGGGGGCAGAGAGAGCCTACAGATCAGGGAAGTGAGGCATATGGGGGGCAGAGAGGCCTACAGATCATCAAAGTGAGGCATGGGGGGGCAGAGAAAACCTATAGATCAGGTAAGTGAGGGATGGGGGAGACAGCCTACAGGAACGGTAATCAAGGACCAGGAAGGTAAAGTAAGAGAAGGAGCAGAAAGTAGAAGGAAGGAGCAGAAAGTAGAAGGAATATAAATGAGCAGAAAGGGACTGCAAGGATCTGGAAGGGGCCGCAAGGAGCACAACAGGTAAAGTAGGAGAAGGAACACAAATGAGCAGGAAGGGGCAGCAAGGAGCAGGACGGGTCTGCAAGGAGCACGAAGGGTCAACAAGGAGAAGGAAGGGTCTGCAAGGAGCACGAAGGGTCAACAAGGAGAAGGAAGGGTCAACAAGGAGCAGGAAGAGTCAGCAAGGAGCAGGAAGAGTCAGCAAGGAGCAGGAAGGTAAAGCAGCACAAAGGTGAAGTAGAAGGAGCAGAAAGGGTCAGCAAGGAGCTGACAATGGCAGCAAGTAGCAGGAAGGGACAGAGGGAGCACAAAGGTGAAGTAGGAGAAGGAACAGAAATGAGCAGGAAGGGTCTGCAAGGAGCAGGAAGGGTCTGCAAGGGACAGCAAGGAGTAGGAAGGGTCTGCAAGAAGAAGGAAGGGTCTGCAAAGAGCAGAAAGGGATAGAAGGAGCACAAAGGTAAAGGAGCAGAAAGAATCAGAAGGAGCACAAAAGTAAAGTAGGAGAAGGAGCAGAAAAGGGCAGCAAGGAGCAGAAAGGGATCAGAAAGAGACAGGAGCAGAAGGGGG